TGTTTAATAAACTAAAACAATTCAGCAGATTGGATTTTCACATTGAACAATAACGATGACTCGTTGCTAAATGTGTTGATGTGACGTCAGTCACCTAAACATTGTAAATTTGCCCAAATGTAACTAGCCCTACCCTGCTGAAAAACAACAGATAAATCAGCCTCAGAAGTTTGCTTGGTCTTAGTTTAACATGGTCTAGATAGGCTCATAAGATGGTGTTCAGCTGGTTTAGCTAGTCAACCAGTCCTGAGTATACAAAGCCCCCCTACAACCACCAAACTAGACCAGCTTGATCCTGTTAGGAGACCAGCAGGCCATTCTAAGCTGGTTTACATTATTTTTCAGTGTAATCATGATCTTAACTACGTCTGATCATCTCAAATGGTCATGGTCGATGCTGTTGTAAGCTTGTATGGTAAAGTACTTTTCTTGTTCTTTTCAAGGCTCTCCTCTTCTAAAGCTGTGTGACAATCAAGGTCAGACCCCTCTGGACCTTGTGTCTTTTGAGGCGCTACGTGATGAGCTCCTTCGCTGTGCAGAGGAAGGGGACAAAGCTCTGGATGCTCCCTGCTCTGAGGTTCGGGATCTGCCCTTCATAGAGTCCTGCTCATGGGTGCTCAGCTGCCTGTTCCTCTCCTACCTCCAAGAGAACTTGCACAATTGGTGGCTGACTAAATACTTTTTTTCCCCACTGTACCTACCTACAAATCCCCCCTTACACCTCTCCACCTTAGTCCCACTGTATGCGCACCCTGATCCGCCTCCGTCCAGATGAGCTAGCCTCCACCTGGGGAGATTCCCGCGCCGTGACCCTGGCTGAGGACCTGAGGACTGTGTTGAGTTTGGAACAGTATGGGTCACAAATGAGCCCCGCATTGAGACGCTGTCATGGGGATCAAACCAGACTGTTTGTGCAGCTGCTTGATGATCTGCAGGCGGAGGGGATGGCACTGATCACTGGACAATCTGATTTTGACTAGTTCTAAAAGAGTCTCTATAAAGGAACAAGAAAAAATGGGCATCTATCTGTAGAGACCGTGGTAAAGCTCTGCCTTTTGGTAAACTACTAATAAAACGTGTTTCCTGGTTTGATTAGTGATTAGTAAATTTTGAATGGATACAAATAAGAATTAAAGGGGTCCTATTATGCTTTTTCACTTTTTGAATTTTAGTCAGTGTGTAGTGTGTATGTTTGGGCATAAAAAAGATCGTCAAACTTACAAATCTCAAAGTCCACTCCAAAGGGAGATATTTCGTTTTTTTTTTAAATCCCTTTTCAAGAACTACAGCGAACGGCTCGTTTGAACTACAGCGTTTGTTTTCCTTGGTTTTGTGATGTCACAAAGCGGTCCATTAGAATATAATTAAAATAATTCCCGCCTACAGAAACTCGAATGGTTGGGGGGTGGAGAGGGACGAGGTCGTGGTTAGAAAGCTTGGTTGAGTGCATCAGACAAGACGAAGAAGAAGTGCTGCTGTAGCCTCAAGTTCTCGCTAGTTATTACACATGCGCCTGAATAATTATGTATGTAAATATGTATGTTACAATTATGAAAACGTTTTTATAATAAATTGCTGACAGTACAATACTGGACAATGATGTAATCTGCTGAATTTACACTTCAATTATGAGACTAGAGTGTTTCTCATACACTGAGTGCGGGTGTTTTTATATCTCTGTATTTCTGAAGGAAACCCACTGTCTTCAGAAAAATGGATGTCATTTTCATTTAATCTTGCATGTAATGTCTGATAAAGCAGTGTATTTTTGAGCGGAGCGCTGCTTTGTGTACAGCTGTTACCGGGGAAACCTCGATCTCTACCACTCCAACAGCGCCTCCTGCTGGCAGAGAATGAGTTTGCATATATATACCGCCTGGGAAACACTGGACTATGGTATAAATAAATTCAACTGTATAACAGTTTCACTGCAATTCATGTTATAAAGTTAGAACTAAATAACAATAAAAATAATACATATGCATTTATCTGTACATAGTAAATGCGGTTGTTGACATCCTATCTAAAACGTGATTTAGCAAAAAAACAATAACGTTACCACTCTAATATGTCTTGCAATATCCGTGTGCGCAAAGGTTCTGCGCGATCCTCTTGTTCAATATTCTCTGGGTCTGAATCCGGCTCAAATTGATATGGCAATATTGACGCCATCCTTAACTAAACCGGAGCAGATGGAACTTGCTGCTTTGGCAGTACTGAAACACCGTCTAAGCTGTTCGCCAATCACAACGCACTGGAACAGCTAACCAATCACATCACATTTCATTTTTCAGAAGGCGGGCCTTCATCAAACCCGGAACTAATCGAGCCGTTTGTGCCAGACTGGGGAGAAAGGTGGGGATTACTTGATTTTTGTATGTGCAAAAATATGTTTGTAAAACACAAAATCATTTTTGAATGTTATTTTTACAGTAAGCTGAATAATATTTTATAAAAATGGTTATTCTTAAGAATGTTCTTAATTTAATTAATTGCTAGTATTTCTTTAATTGCAAAATTGAAAAATTAAAGAAAATAAAGATAATTTGAACCATGCGAATAGTTCAAATATTTAATTTTCACACCCAGTCAAAAGTGTGGAAACACCTATGCACATTATTATAGTTATTTTCAGAGCTGGGTAGATTACTTACAAACTGTAGTCCGTTACTGATTCCAAATTACAAGACAAAAATTGTAGTCAGTAATGTAGTCCATTACATTATACATTTAAGATAATATAATTATACTTTTAGATTACTTTTGACCAAACTCGTTTATCACGTTGATGAAAATGGGATAATCTTGTACCATATTGATATAAAAATGCACAGAGAAAGAAAATATATTCCATTTGTTGTTATTAATAACATGAAGTGTTGTTAAACACTTGCGATGTCAATTAAACATTACAATATGTCAAGGTTTCCCAAAATGGGGTTTGTGAGTTTAATGAAAGCTAATAATTCATTTAATTATAAAAAAGTAAAACTAAAATAACAACAATCAAAATAAAACATTTACTAAAAAAGATTAAATATATTTTATTTGTTGACCTCCGCATCATGTGACCATTAATTAATGTCAGAGAACTGTGAACATGCAAATGTGTTACTTGCAAACTAATTACCTTAAAATCTCAAGGAGACTTCAAGTAAATATATTAGGTGAAAATTTAAAAGATGCAAAAGAATAATTAGGCAGAATCAATAAATTGATTAATTTATTGCTATTGTGTGAATATTATGTAATCAGTAAAAAAAAGTAACTGTAATGTGATTACAAGTATTTTAAAATTTAATATAATCTAATCTAACAAGTAATTAATTTTTGGAATCTGATTACGTAATCCAAATGACATGTAATCAGTTAATACCCAGCACTGGCTATTTTCCAGAAATATACAGTGAACAACCAAATGTGAAATCAGAACTGGCAATATAAATTCTTCTCTCGATTGCAGCTCAGCACACTTTGGACATCATCCTGGGAAGATTTTAAAACAGATTTCACATATTAGACACTTTTTTTTTAGTCTCATCTGGTCCACTCATTTAAAAAAAAAAAAAAGTTGTATAGAAATTAATTTGAGAAGATCTTGAGAAATTACTTTTCACTTGCAGCGTATATAATTTGCAGTCCATTAGACTCTGCAGCTCTCCGTGCTTTGTTCCAAATGAATAAGCCTAACTTTAGCTCAAGCCCAGCCTGTAAGACATGGCTTCACAGCTCTCTGATCCAGGATGATGGAGGGAACTCATATGTGTGCCATGTGGGGTTAATAATCAATCCCCTCCAAACAACTGATTCCAGTACAAAAGCAGAGAATCCATCCAAGACCTCCATGAAGAATGAGCCGTTTCCTGATCAACTACAATGCAGCCTCCGGAGGTGACGAGGGATCACAGAGTCCGGCTTTGGGATTAGAACCCAAGACGCTGCGGATGGTCTGAGCCTGACAGCCCAAGAGCGATGGAGGATGCTGAGGTTAATAAATAACAAGCTCAAGTGTTCTTGCTTTCAGCGTGGCTGTGATTATTAGCGTCTGGCAGAGCGGCCGTTTGTACTGGATCACGCCGTGTGATGCTACGGTGTCATATTGAATAACAGCAGGGATCAGACAGGCAAGAAACAGCCAGACTAACAAATGATGGGAGGCCGCAGAGGCTGAGAGCACAGGGGAGCCCCACACAGTCCCTCCATCACTCTGAGAGCGTGTGAAGGGCGCTTGCGTCGTGAGGTGTTCGGCAGGGAAACCTGGCTCACGGCAAACGGCTTGAAATATAGCAGTGCTGGTGAAGGTGTAAGAAATGAATGACTCTGCGTGTGAAAGATGAACCAGCTTGTACACACCTGTGTGTTTTTCTACAAAAGACCCACCGCTAAGATCTATAGATGAGACCTTGTGCCTTCAGTATGTAAACTCTTCATAGTCGAAGTAATATTACTATAAAACTAATGTTATCATTCATTCATTCATTAAAAACCAATTGAGTTTTAAAGTAGAGCTGCAGTCTAATAAAGCTAAATACTAAAAACTGGAATAAAAATAAAGCTAAATAGAAATAGTAAAAAACAAACGAATAAAACGCTAAATAAAATACAAAATATTAAAATATATATTAAAAATATTAATATATACTATAATAATATACAGAAATAATACTGCACAAGTCATTCTTGTTTACATGCTTTGAGATGTTTTTTTTATTGATGAACGCAAGCAATAATTATATAAAAAAGAAACAAAACATCTTTAAAAGTAATGACAAATTATTCATAGTTCATATTTTAGTTTCAATTTTGTCACAAATCTGCCAACTGTGTTTCAGCCAATCACAGGGAGCAGGTTTTAAAATGACACACAGACACATTACAGTTTCATAAACTGATCACATATATTCTGCTTTTTTTGTCTGTTTGTTTTTACAATAGGAATATTTACAAAAAAAATGTTTATGTTAAATAAATAATTAAAAAATCTGGTATAAATGAAAGTGCCTTTATTCCTTTTCCACTGAATACATTCTAGATAGTTGTCTCTTTTATATATATATATATATATATTATTTCCAAAAAAAAGGTCCACTTTGGTTTACTTGCAAACATAGCATGTGCACTTTTACAAAACAAAAAGCTTTTGGGATGCAAAAAACATTCACAGTAAACCCACTTAACAACTTAAATCAACACGTACAGTACACAGAAACACATTCAGGCTTAGACAACTATCCTTTCTGCTGTTCAAATCATCATTGTGTTGTTGTTTTTTTTATAATGCAAGTCACTGAAGTACCGCCCGTGTCCTGCTCAGGGGGGATTGTGTTGTCTTTGTAATGGAGTTCCCTCCGACAAATCAATGGTCTTTCCATGTGATAGATGCGATAGATAGATGCGATATGGCAAATGAGAAGTCAGGAGGGAGGCGGAGGGCAAGTGTCTTTCTGACGTAGCCTGCGCTGTGATCTTTCATCGCTCGCTACGCCGAGGTCCCTCAAGAGCGGCCCATGGACCCATCCATGACCTCCCTCGCAAGCAGCTGGATGAATGAGAGGAAATGACAGAGGGAGAGAAAGCGGAATGACAGGAGCGTATGAGAAAGCTGCCCGCGTCCTCCTTTTTCTCCACGGCGGCGTCAGTAAACCTCTGCCCTACGGTACCCCCCCCCAAGGCCCTAAAGCAGCCTGTCACACACTATCGACTTCTCATCAAGCAGCCAATCCACAGCAATGAAAACACCCTTCAAGTTTGGGATTTTTCTAAAGATTTCGGCCGGTTCCTTTATATAACAGCACTTGGCCTTTAGAGATAAAAAATTAGCGGAGTGGCACATGGCGGTGCTTTAGGAGCAAAGGATGAAACGTAAATTCTCTAATCCCCACTATGAGGACAATGCTGACGCTGGCACGGCTACTATTGGTCGACAAAGGTTTACAATAAACAATCCCAGTATGCATCATTCATACCATTGAAAGAACATCGAAATGATGTAAAGATATCGCAAACCTCACTGGCACTGGGCGTTTTTTGAGTCATTTCCACGAGCACTTTAGTTACAGCCATAAATCGGACCGTAACAGGCTCAGCTGTCGACTCAGCTGCGGATAGCTTTAGATACGGCAGTGACCGTGCCGTGCAAATTATAGGGTGCAAACTGCAACTTAACCACCGTCGTTTTCCCTTCTGTTGAGGCGAGGTGTGTCGGCACAGGTGGCCGTATTATTATCAGCTGATCCTGCTATTTGTGGTTAGAACGGCTCAGTTTGCTGCCGTGGAAGGACACCTTGGCTTTTAGAGCTGTCTGGCTAGTGGCAAGCGCTGACAAATAACCCAGACTGTTTGACTCTAAAAGGGGTCAAGAGCTTTCGCCGCTTTCCCCGCCGCAAAAATAAACCAAAAAAAGGACGGATGGTAATTAACAACGGTCCCGTTTTCACTCTGACTGCGCTCTTTAACTCTCCACGCTGCAGAGAAAAAGAGTGAGGAAGAAAGACAGAAAGAGGCTGGTTGCCAGTCAGTACTCTCCTTCTCCTTGGCGTTGGGAGAGCATCCGTGCGAGAAGAGGAGCTATCCTGGGTTATTTTTCTTTCTTTTGTTTGGGCTGTGACTGGGCTCCACTTTCAGCTCTCGGTACTGCACCTGTTAAAACACACACAATCACACACACGTGGTCAGGTGGGCGGATTGATAGCGGCCTCGGTCAAACACAGCAGAGCACAGCTGTGCTGTCACACTAAAGGCTCAAGTTAACAGCCACATATGACTGAGATGCACACTATATTGGCCATAAATGTTTTCAAACATTAACAATGATGCAAAAAAATTCTACTTCAAATAAATGCTGTTCCTTTGAACTTTCCACAAAAATTCACACAATTTCAACAAAATAAGTTTAAGCTATAAAATTGTTTTCAACATCATTGATAATAATAAGAAGAAATGTTTATTGAGCATAAAATCAGCATATTAGAGTGATTTCTGAAGGATCACGCAACACTGGAGAAATGGCTGCTGAAATCACAGGGGAAAATACAATTGAAAATATATTAGAAAACTCCTATTTTATATTGTAATAATATTTTACAATATTACTGTATAATTAATTAAATAAATTGAGCCTTGGTCATCTTTTAAAAACATTTACCAACCCCAAACTTTTCCATTTTCAAAAGTGTAGAAAGCAGTATGATAAAAACGTTTATTAATAACTATAATGTTCTATGTAAACCAAAATGTGAGTGCTATGTGTATGCATATTACAGTATATAGTTATTGATCTCACATTGCTTGTATTGAATCAATTGACCACAAAGTGCACCATTTGCACAACACTATGTTGCAACTTATGTACATTGTTCCAAAAAACTCACTTATAAGGTTCCATTCCAGTTGGGATGTCTTAAAAGGCAGCTACCTATCTAGGTAACGAGGCAGCTCACTAAGGTTTTGGAACGGAGCAGAAAGGGGAGGTATGTCAGCTTAAAATTCACAGGGTTGTCACCATACTAGTATTCACTTTCAGACCAATAAGACAGCAACAGTTAAGCGCCTCTGAGTGAAACAGACAGATCACTGGTTTTCCCTCAGATCTGGCCCTCAAACTGACTGACGTCATACTCAGAATCCCTAAGACATGTGGTCCATGTACTGCCAGCTCAACAGAAACATCAGTCACCTACACTGAGAAGTGTGTCCATCTCTCAGCCATCCATCTTGTAGGTGTGAGACTGGGTTTGTCTGTGTCACATTCCGCTCACACCAGATGTGATTTTGATGTGGTTTTGAAGTAGTAAGGATGAAAAATACATTTATCCAAACCGAGTTGGTCTGCTTTGTAGTTTTACATGCATCTTTTCATCAAGACACAAAGGTTTAAATAGATGCATGGAAAATTGATAGAAAACATTAAATCAACTGACCAAAAGTTTTGGGTTTTGTTTTGTTTTTGTAATGTCCTTACTTTTGTGTGTGTATGGGGGGTATTTTTATTTTTTTTAAATACTTTTTTTTTTATTGTAAAGAAGTCAAGGCTGCATTTATTTGATGAAACATACAGTAACTCAGTAATATTGTGAAATATTATTACAAATTAAATTAACTGTTCGTAGCACTTTAAGGGCCAATTCAGGGCCAAAATGTATATATACATACATGTGTGTGTGTGTGTGTGTGTGTGTGTGTGTGTATCAAGAAACATTATCATCTAATTATTCTTAATCAAATCAATGTTGAAAACAGTCGTGCTGCTTAATTTTTTTCCAGGATTTTGATTATTAGAAAGTTTGCATCTTTGCTGAATAAAATTATTAATTTCAGCAAGGTACTGTACATTTTAATTTTGTATAAAAATGTAAATAAAAAAATAATTTAAAGGAATAGTACAGAATTCTAGGCTCTCTATTGACATCTGTGGTTGATACAAAACATTTAGTTACTAGCAGAGGAACATCTTTATGTCAGTTGTGCTTCTACAGTTTTTAAAGTACAATAAATTCAAACTAAAATTAAAATTGTCTGTAGTGTAAAAACTAATTACAATAACAATTAATCCTGCTCCTTAACGAGAGTGTAAATGTAGTACATTTGCAAAATCTAAAAACATTGATATATGATTATTCTAATTAATTATTCAGCATATAATTGAATTCATTTGATTAAAAAATAATAAATTTAAATTTAGTCAATAATAGACCTAATGAATACTAACTCAATGTTGACAATAGTGGCCATAGCTACAGCTAGAGCATTTCTGGAGGATTTCAGAGCGGCCTGGCATTCGTCGTCTTCAAAGCGCGCTTTAAATTGCAGCCTAACGGGGTCATTATTTTCATATTCGCTTTAAACACATCAGGGTCGCGCCTGACTTCAGAAGACTCCCTTGAACTGTGTGTAAACAAAAGTTTACATGTCAAGGTGAGGCGATGAAGATCGACATTAGTGAATCTAATGGAAGAAAAGAAATGAAGGCAAACAACAATAAAGGCTCAATCAAAAGTAGCGCAATAGAGAGTGTGTGGCACGTCAGAGGCTCTATTACTCTTAACTGCTGACAGTTATGCCACCCTGTATGGTGCAACAAGCACTGCAGCTTTAATGACAGAGAGCTGTCCCACCCAAGATAACACAGCGCACTAGTTAGAGTCAAAGAAGCACGCGGAGAAAGTAAAAAAAGGGAACAATACAAAGAGAAGAACTTTAGTAGATTGAATAAGGGGGGTTAAAAGTGACTACGGTGAGATAGCAATTTGGAGCAAGTGCCGAGCACAAAGAGAACATCCGTGGAGACGATGGGTAAAGACCTTACGCTGCTCAAAGGCTGCTCCACCCTCGCTCCGCTCCCCCATGTTGACAGTTGCACTACAAAACACACTTTGAAGTGCGCTCTCGCAGAGGGGGCGCCAAGCGCGCGAGCGCCTCGTTTAGCGGTGTCAGACGCCGTCCCGGGACCTGCCGAAGCCGAGTACGCCATGTCGTCCCGCTGCTAAGCGTGGATCGGGGTTTGAAGCCACATGGGCGGCAGACAAATATAAATAAGTAAATGAAAGCTGAACATTTTTAATGATACTATGCTATGCTGTTTATAGAGGAGCAGAGAAATCGTGCCTGCTTCATCTCCAGTGACACCTAACCTTGCATTAGGGGCATTAAATGCTCCTGTAGAAGAAAAAAAGGGCTCACAGACGCCCACAGACAAGCTCACATCCATTGTCGAGAGAAAAAAAAACAAGAGTTTCGAGGTGAATATAGAGGGAAAGGCACTGAGGAAAGTTTCTCCTAACTTTTTTATTTTCTTGAGGTAAGGTGCACGCTAATTGCTTGTTTAAACTCTAAATAGAAACCCCTGGTGCAGCAAATACAGGCCTTAGAAAAGATTCTTGCTCTCAGAAACAAAAAAGTGATTAGGACAGCTGTGGGAGGGATCACAAATTTGCCAAAGGCTTAGCTTATGAATATTAATTAGGGGGTGCACAAATAATTAAACATGGTATTTGACTGTTTTGATAAATAAACAATGTATTGATCTGATATCTGATCTGAGGTCATGCTTTTTCTGGGAATCGAACCCATGACTTTAGCACTGCTGGCCTCATGCTCTACCATTTGAGCCAGAAGATTTTTTTTTCCCAAGTTGCCAAATAAAGTATAAAGTACTTTTCAAAAGTCTGGAAACTTCGGAAATCATTTAAATGAAGTATCTTGAGCTCACCAAGGCTGCATTTATTTGATCAAAAGTATACAAAAAAACTAAATATTAAAATATTATTATGATTTGAAATAACTTAAATTTATTTGAATATATTTTACATTTGTATTTATTCCTGTGATGGCAAAGCTGTCCTCAGCGTCATATGATCCTTCAGAAATCATTGTAATATACTGACTTTTTCGCTAGGGATGGGTATCGTTAAGGTTTTAACGGTATTACTACTCTTACCGATACTGCTTATCGATTCGGTACTTTAACGGTATTCTTATCGGTACTTTTTGTTTTATATATATATATATATGACAAATTAAGAGCTGAATTAACATTGCTTTATATTCTGAAATGTAAAATAAATATTTAATGAAATGACTATAAAACATCAATTTGTAAATGCACCAGTGTGCAGGCATTTTTAGAGTTTTATACATAAGATAAGATACAGTAAGAACATGAACAAAGACACAAAGTAAAACAAACTGACAAATACAATAAAACAAATATACAAATTAAATGAAATAAACAGTGCTGTTATTTTTCTACTAACAAGTTCTACTAACATTACTGTTCAGGTAAGTAATAGCCTACAAAAGAAATCTAAAAGTAATCAAATGTAAATGAACACTGCATAGTTTTCAGTGTATGTATTGATAGATGAATGCTTATTAAAGCTATAACGTTATTCAGATTAAGAGCAGATTTGCATTTTGATGGCCCAAGCGCCAGTCTGTCACTTTAAAACAATATATTGACACACATCGGATTTTCTCCCAACTGTTCTCCTCCACTTAAGACATAGAAAATGAAATAAAAAAATTAAATTAGCTTAATAAAACCGCCACAGGCCTAAAGTGTAAGCAGATGTTTGAATGTTTAGTTCTCTCTTCTATCATAATTAAACAGGGCTTTCATGTTGCGTGTGCTGAAGCTCCTCCGCGTGGGCGCGATCTCGCTTCTGAATTGCGAATAGCAAAAATGCATCATAGACAAATGTTTGAAAAACAGCTGACGACTCTGGTGAGATAGAATTTGCAAGATAATGTATATATAGCGATAATAAATGTATGTGTGTCTTATTAATTTCTCCAGTACCGATAGCAGAACCGTTAACGTCAGAGTTGATCGATACTCCGGTCTTTCATAATTTAGCCCCAGGACCGATTAAATACCGGGTTTCGGTACCCATCCCTAGTTTTCGCTGCTTAAAATTTTGTGTAAACTTTTTTTAAGTTTCTTTGATGAAAAGAAAGCTTTTATTTGAAATAGAATGTTTTGTAACAATTGTTTTACTGTCACGTCTGATCAATTTAATGCGTATTTGCTGAATAAAAGCATTTATTTCTACTAAAACATCCAAAAAAGAAAACAGTTATCGTAAAAAAAAAAAAAAAAAGTGTTTATTCTAATGAATGCAGCCTGGTATGTGTTAATCATT